ACTAAATCCCTAGTGGTTTTATGCACACCTATTAAAGTATATATAAGCAACATGCTAAGGAGAATCCCCTAAGAACCAGTGAGATGAAAGGCCAGTGATGTATTGATTACCAAGAGACTACTGAAAAATTAGTTGAGTAGAAAACATGTTCAATTATTTTGACTGTGTTCAAGAAATCTGGATTTCAAAAACCAAACCTGGCTTTAATCACAGTATACAAGGTATGTGTATTGTGCTTTGTGAACTCTGAGCTTTGCTTTGCTAAATTTAGTGATAGAACTGGACTAAAAGTGGTTTCCTCTTTTTTTGACTACATAGCATGTAGTAATCAAGGCTTATGAGTACAGTTAGCTCTTCTGGAAAGTAAGTCTGCTAACAGGAAGCCAGTATTTAATGTGTCTACTTCCTAGACCTCCTGTTTTTGATCAAGCAAGAGACAGTTCCAGAGATTCTTCAGATCTCAGGTGAATCAGAAATCTTCCCCTCTCACTGGCTAGAAAAGTATTTCCAGCATCTTCACTCTTAGCTCAGGCTTTTGTTAAAAGACATCTCTTTTAAAAGACATCTAGTTAAAGCTGTAATAATTGTTATTTCAACTTAACAATTTTTGATAGTATGTAGGATCCCTTTGATTGAAAATATGTTTGATTATTATGAAATTATTTCATAAGTTTACATCTGTTACATTTAAATCATTGATGGTTACACATAAAGCCAGAATAAAAAATAATAATTCAAATATAAGGTCAGTTAGGTCAGACAAGATCACACATCCATCACATGGCTGACCACAGTGACACGTAATCTTGAAATTTTGAATTTTGAAATTTTGGAATTGCAATCTCCTTTCCATTATTGTGGGCAAAAGCATCTCTTTCTTCCTTATTATTTTCTTGCTAGCTTGATTCCTTTAAGAAAGACAGATACCTCTAAGGGACTGTTTTTCTCCTTTTTTGAACAGGTATGGTGGGGGTAGAAGGATCACACTGTGGATGCTTCTATTTCTCTCTTTTGACAATAGGGGAAGCTTTAGCAATGGTGGAAGCTACAGACAACAGGCTTGAATAAGCTTTGACTAGATGCTTGACCTTTACTGTCCAAACTTGAGTTCTCTGTACACAAAAATCCCAAGCCAAATAGCCAAACTAACCAAAGTATTTGAAGAGCAAGCTTGGACAAAGAGAAGTTCCTTCTCCAAATTTATTTCCCTTTTCTAAGACACACGTAAATAAGAATGAAGAAGTAAACAGAGCTTCCAAGGGCACCCAGAGATGAGGGGACATTGCAAGGACTATAAAGGGAGGGCTGAAGTAATGTGTTAAAATTGATTCAGTGTTTTAAAAAGATTAGATACGTGTAGGTTATGAAAAATTATCTAATGGAAATGACAGTAAACCAAACAAAATACCAGTAACTGGATGGGGACACCTATCACTCAGCTTCATACACCTATGTACATCTTTATACATGCAGAATATTTAGCTATGCCTGAACTGGACTTCCCTTTAGGTCAGTGGAGAAAACCAGAAAATCTTCAAACATGATTCATACCTTCTATGTAAATATTCTAAAGTGGGAGTGCTTATTTCTGAATTTAAAGGTAATCTAAACTATGAGTTCTAATGTAGGCATCAACCCACTGAAAGTATTCAAGCCTAGTTGAGATGACACCCAGTTTATGAAAATAAAATTACTAAATAGAATTGAAAAGGAATTACTTGAAATGTTCTGTTAGTTATTGTGTGAATTATTATTTGAATAGAGAAAATTGATTTCAGAAATCTCAACACTTGAAGGTTTTGTTTCAACTACTTTAAAAAAAAGGAAAAAAACTCAGTTTCTCGCATAAAGAAGTGTTACCCTTTTTTAATAATAGGTTTTAAAAAAAATCAACATTCTTTAAATGCATTCCTTGGCTTATATATATATTTTAATTGTTTTGCTTTATCTGAAGGTGCATATTCTTTTTGTTTGTTTAGGGGACAGCAGTCTTTTGTGGGCTTGTCGCAATCTTAGGATAACACTTTTTCCTGTCCAGTTAAACCTGAAATAGATCTTTAACTGTAGAATTAAATTTCTGTTTCTAGTTGATTGTAAAGTTGATTAAATGAAAATAGTTTAGACAAGCTGCATGCAATGTGTTTCATTATACTGAAGATAATATCACAGGGTAATTAGTTTACAAATTTTAAAAAATTAATTTACAAGTAGTTTACAAAATCTACAGATATGATAGATTAATCAATTTTCTACTCTTTTCCATCTGTCTAGTTTTTATATTTCTTATTTTTCATATATCTCACTGTTTGTCTTATTCTTCTAATTGCTTCTCCAGGCAAACTATTTGAAATCCACTGATTTCCTTTTGGAACATGATCTGAAAAAAAAGATGGAAAACCACACCAAGATAACCGAATTCATTTTGGTTGGGTTCAAATCTCATCCAGGATCACATCTCCTCCTCTCTGTTCTCTTCTCAACAATGTATGCTGTCACAGTTGTAGGAAATGTCTGCATGATACTCATCATTAGAATGGACTCCAAACTGCACACTCCAATGTACTTTTTCCTAGAGAACTTGTCAGCCTTGGACATCTGCTATTCCTCTGTCATCACTCCCAGAGCAACACTGATATTCTCACTGGACAGAAGAAACATTTCTTACAATGGCTGTGCTTCACAAATGTTCTTCTTCTCTCTCTTTGGTACAACAGAAGCCTTCTTTCTTGCTGTGATGGCTTATGATCGTTTCACTGCCATCTGCAATCCACTGCTGTACCAAGTGATTATGAATAAAAGACTCTGTGTTTTCATGGTGATGGCCTCTTATCTGTCAGGCTGCATCAACTGCACCATCCAAACAGGCTTTACATTCAGTTTGTCCTTTTGTGGACACAAAGAAATAAACCACTTCTTCTGTGATGTTGCTGCAGTGATGCATGCTTCCTGTTCAGACACACTCGTCAATGAACTAGTAATGCTGACTGTGTGTGGATCCATTATTGTGGGCACTGCCTTGGTGGTTTTTATCTCCTATGGTTATATAATCATCACAATTGTCCAAATGCCTTCAGCTGAAAGCAGGCACAAGGCCTTCTCCACCTGCTCCTCTCACATGATGACCATCTGCTTGTTCTTTGGGACAGTTTTCTTCATGTATGCTCAGCCTGGGGCCACATCTTCACCTGACAAAAATAACACCATCTCCATCTTCTATACTATTGTTATTCCCATGCTAAACCCTTTCATCTACACCCTTCGAAACACGGAGGTAAAAGGGTCTCTGAAAAAACAATTAAAAAGGAAAGGGTTTTTTTAGCACCTTAACTAAGGTTGAGAATGGCCACAGTGATGAATTTGGTACAGACAGGTGCTTAGAATGCAAAAAAAGAGACATCAGAGAACATCAGGGCTTGCTTTCAAGAGTCTTTTGTGTTTCTAGATGGTCAGTGTCATGGGTGAAAGCAGAAGATAACAAAAACCCTAAGGGAATCTAGATCAGATGAAGGTGTGGATTTGTTTAACCATATTTAGACATTTACAATCCATTTGAGCTGTAATTTAGAGCCCTCTTATAGCCATTCAAAAGGTAAAAGCATTTTAAAGCCATAATCAATCCAATTGGATTGGACAATCTGAAGTGTATCTAAGTGCATTGGATATCTAAAATAGGACATAAAACTCAGACTCTGGCAGTACCTTATTTGTGTGCCTCAGAACACAGGCACAGGCAGTTCAGGTGGAGGTCTCATTGCAAATCTTCACAGCTAAATTAGATCAAACAAGAGTCAACTGAAAGATTTATTTCTCTGTGACTCCTCGTCTTTTTAGTTATTTTTTTCCCTTTTAATCACTTCTCTTTCAGTGGAACCACTGAAATTAGGATTACAACCATTAAGCATTAATGGGCAATTGAAATATTGTGCTTGAAATGCTCTTTGATGACAAACAAACAAACAAACGAAAAACCAAACAGATTCTTTTTCCATGTATCCATGTGCATGTACATGCGAGTGTTTGTAAGAGGATGGGAGCTATTTCTCTGTGATAGGCAGACTTGTAAAAACAACCATCTGACATAACATAAAGGTAACATTTGAGTTCAACTTTTCTGGTTTAAAAAAAAAATGCACATTTCAGAAAATACCAACTTGAAGCTTCAGCATCAAGTGTCTGAACCATGACCTCTTGAGTTACCAAGTAAGCACTGTCCTACCATAAGACTGCTCAGTTCTCATTGTATTGCAACATAAGATAGAGCCTGCTAGAAATCAGAAGTCACCTTCCAGAGAAAGTAAATATTTAAATGATTTGTTTACTTTCTACTTAAAAGAAATAATACCACTTTGAAATAAATCACTACCCATAGTTACCTTTTTTTTTTCTCTTTTGGTATAAAAGGTATCTGTGCTACAAGCTCAAACACACATATGTCTTCCCCCATCCTATTTGGTAGGGAAAAATACCAGAGGAATATCCATCTGTGTAGATTGTGAACCACTGGAATTTCTGTCAGCATTTTCCAGTAGCCACTATTGTGACTTCAGTGCCCGCTACTCTTCCAAAGAACTAAATTAGTAGAAAACATCTGTATCGAATGCAGCTCCACTCTCCCATATCTGTGTTCAGGTACAACAGAGATCTCTGCACCTGAAAGTTAGTATTTTCTAGCAAGCCTCAGCAAAGGGTCCCTTCTGGTTACCACTACATCTGGTAGTTTAAAAATGTGAAGTGGTACTCATACATAAAGGTTTTACTTCATTAGCATATGCAGGGCATGAGAAGTAATATGTATTTTCAAAATGTACATATACTTTTTCAAGTGAAAAAATATGTATTTTCAAGTTAATGAAACACAGTTTGGCTTTTGGTCACTGGTTGGGCGATTCCTGTGGCTCAGCTCCCATCAGCTTCATCGTTTGAAACAGAGCACACCCACAACTACCCCTGTGCTGCTCCTTTTCAGCCTCTTTCAGGGCAGCACCCCAAGCTCCCTAAAGGCTCCTGCTTCCAAGGACAGTTTGTTTCTGCTGAACGATTGCCAACACAGACACTTCTTCTTGCTGAGCTTCGTCTTCTAGTGTTTCTCCACAACCTTGTTCACATGGCTGCATTTCTTTAGCATTTGCAATTGAGCACTGGTGGTTTCATGGCCTGCATTGTGGGTATCTGCTTCACCATGGACCTCCTTGGGCTGCAGTGGTGGGGGGACACTAAACCATGGTCCTCTCCATGGGCTGCAGGGGAATCTCTGCTCTCTGATCCCTGGAGCACCTCCTCTCCCCTCCTTCTTCACCGACCTTGGTGTCCAAAGGGCTGTTTCCCTCATACATTTCTCATCCCTCTCTCACACAGCTGCTGTGCAGTGGTTTTAACATTTCTTAAATATATTTTTGACAGAGGTACAACCGCTTCAGTGATGGGCTCAGTTTTGGACAGTGACGTGTCTGTTTTGGAGCCAGTTGAAACTGTCTCTGCCTGAGATGGGGAGAGCCCTGAGTCTGTTTTCACAAAGGCCACTTTGCTGTCTTTGCATCACCAAAACCTTGCCACATAAACCAAATACACTCCATTTCATTTTTATTCCTGGGAGGTAAAGAATTCAGTCTACACCGAATAATAACTAATTATTATTATGTCCTTGTTACAGAAACGTATTCACATTATTATAAGCATCACTGTATTGCCCAAAACAAAGTCTATGCTAAAAATAAGCCAGATAATAATTCCAAGTCATTCTTCAAGCAGAGCAAGACAAGTTCCTGAGGTCTGCAGAGCCAACACAAAGTCCAGGACTTGCCAATTGCAATGCCAAGATCATACTTCTTTATCTGTATCACTGTGTCAACTTCCTCCTGTCAGGGCTTGCAGTATAATTGGGGTTTTCTCAAAATTAGCTTGGCTGCCAGCAGGCAGAACCAATTAACTCTATATTGGACATGTTTATTATGGATAATGAAGAACTGACATTTCTTTCACATGGCAGCAAATCCGGAGGCTTCCCTGACAAGAAGCGAGCAAGAACGGATCATCTTTTTTCTCTTATGCAAACCCAGACTCATTCTTGGATCAAAATGGGTTGCACTGATTTCCAGCCTCAAGGGTGTGCCCAACACAGCTGTCCTAGGGCAACTTTAGATGAGATAGGCACAAGCACTGAACATCACCCCTCCATAGTATACATTTTAGGTCCTATGTACCAAGCAGGATTGCTAGAGCAGGTGGACACCGATTTTCTTTCATACAAGCACAGGTCTGTGCACCACTCCTGGCTTCTGGTCCAAGGCTGCTTTGTGACTGTACTGTTTTTCTCCAGGATAGAGTTAACTTTCCTCAAAATAGCTCACAGGGTGCTATGTTCTGAATTTGTGCTGAAAACACTGCTGGTCATACAGGTATGGTTCAGTTATTACTTACACAGGGACAAGGCCCTTTCTGCTTCTCACACCACCGCACCACCGAGGAGACTGGGGGAGCATTAGAAATTAGGAGGAAACACAACTGGTTCAGCTGACCCCAACTGCCCAAAGGTATCTTCCATACCACATGCTCAGCAATAAAAGTAGGCAGAAGGTGCTTGGAGACTGGCTGGGCATCAGTAATTTGGTGTTGATTGTTTTCATGTGCATCAACACCATTGTGGTTCTGGTGTTTTATTTCTCTCTTTTTTGTTATTGTCATTACAATTTAGCATTATTTTTTCATTTCAATTATGAAACTGTTTTTATCTCAACCCACAAGTTTTCTCACTTTTACTGTTCCCATTCTCCCCCTCCCATTCCTGTGGGGAGGAGTGGCAAGTTTTGGGTTCCTTAGTTGCCAGGTGGAGTTAAACCATAACAGTCCTTTTTTGTGCCCCTAGTGTGGCTTGAACGCACAACCCCAACATTATGAGTCTCACATTCCACTGACTGAGCTAGCTGGGGATGGGATACTTGCTGCAGCTGTCGGAGGTGTCCAGATCTGACTGGCAACTGGCCCTTCCATGTAGCAGTTCTGCTGTGAGGACAACCCTGGGTACAGTGCTGGATGCAGGCAGATGTATTCCCCAGGAGGTTATTGCTGTCACTATTTAACACTTTCTAATGGAGACATGCAACAAAAGCTGTCAATGACTTCAGCTCAGGTCAGCTGGTGAGAGTTTTGTCAAATCCAAAGCCGTCCTTATCCTGGTTATAACCACAGTCTGGTCTCCCTCTTCAAGTATGCCATAGAGGTGGGAAATTGTGAAGAGTTCATTTGTGCTTTCTTGTTTCTTTTCTGGTCACTCAGACCATTGCAGCATGTCAGGGGCAGTCCAGAGCTTTCAGGTAACCCCATCCTGTAGCGTGGATCTGTGCTTGGTTTGTCCATCCAGCACTAAAAGAAAATCATCTGGTGAGCGAGGGCTGGGCACGTGAAGCTCAGCAATGCCAAGCACAAAGTCCTCCACTTGTCTTGAGACAATCTCCCAATGTCAATACACGGGATGAATGGATTGAGAGCAGCCTTGCAGAGAAACACTTGGGGATACTGGAGGATGAGAAACTGAGGTGGTAATGTGTACTTAGAGCCTAGAAAGTCAGTCATATCCTGGGTTGGATCAAAAGAAGTGCAGCCAGCAAGTCAAGGGAGGTGATGCTCCCCCTCAGCTATGCTCTTCAGACCCCACATGGTGTGCTGCATCAGGCTCTGGGGCCTCCAGAACAAGAAAGACACAGATCTGTTGGAGTGAGTCCAGAGGAGCCCACAAAGGTGCTCAGAGGGCTGGAGCATCTCTGCTATGGGACAGTCTGATAGAGCGGGGGTTGTTCACTCTCGAAAAGAGAAAGTTCTGGGGAGATCTTATGGCAGCCTTTCAATATATACAGAGGATTTGTGAGTAAGACAAAAGGACCTTTTAACAGAGCCTGTGGTGACTGTGCAGTTTTGAATTGAAAGAAGGCAGATTTAGATAATATGTAAGGAAGAAATTTTTTATGAAGAGGGTGGTAAGACACTAGCACAGGTTGCCCAGAGAAGTTGTAGATGCCACATCATTGGAAAGGTTTAAGGCCAGGTTGGATGGGGCTTTGAGCAACCTGGTCTAGTGAAAGATGTCCCTGCCCATGGTAAGGGGACTGGAACTTCAGGACTCTGAAGGTCACTTCCAACCCAAACCCAAACCATTCTCTGATACTACGATTCTCACATGTCTGAACAGCAGTTTTGGGCAGGCTTTGTCCCTTGACAGAAGCAGAAGCGTGGGGCTTCATTGGTGCTGGTGCTGGGGCTCTGTTACAGGTTGGGACTGACTGGGGGCATGTTTCTTGTTAGATGGATACAGTGCAGTTGTGAGAAGGAAGTGAGAAATGGCATGCTGGATTTTGTTTTTCTGGGAAGTTCTATCCAGTGAAACACCATGAGATAGATGCATGTGGAGGAAAAATACCAGTTTGAGACGTATCCAAAGGTCCCTTACAATTGTCTTTTTTTTTTGACATTTTACATTTTAGGACCTACCAGGCTGCAGTCAGGCACAGCCATCTGTACTGTATGGGGGAGTTAGAAGGAGAATGTGCAAGCAGCTCCAGCTAACATCACCATTGGGACCCATCCAGCAGACAGAGGCTGAGCAGACCACACTGTGTATGGAGAGTAGCTCCTGCTCACCCACCCACCTGCCAGTACATGCCACACAAGAAACCAGGTGTTTATCTCCACCTTTCATCCTCTGAACCACAGGGATGCCTTTTCCTGCGCAAATAACTCCTAGTCTCAGATTTCCAGCTGGCTTCTCCTAGAAACCCAGTTCCTTCTTTGCTTACCCCAGGACCTGCCTCTTTTATACAGTTGGTGGCGAGAGGGTTAGGGTTAGGGATAAGGACAGCTGAGGGCTGCCCAGGGAAGTGGTGGAGCCACTTCCACCCCTGGAAGTGTTCAAAGAAAAGAGTGGACACAACACTTAGTGCAACGATTTAGCTGACACGATGGTATTTAGTCAAACTTGATGATCTTGGAGGTCTTTTCCAACCTTAATGATTCTGTGACTCTATGACAGAGCAGGCTACGGGGGAAGGAGGACAGATGGACAGAGAGGTGGAGCAATGGCTATGGCTGTGTGTGCAGACAAGGACAGACTGAGCTGCAGATAGGTAGGCAGAAATATCTCCAGCACTTCTTACTGCTTCAGAATGGCCACCAATGCATAGAGATCTTGCTTACAGGCCGGTGTCACACTCTGCTCTTCACAGGCCATGGATAACAGCAGATGACACAACAGGCTTCTGCGTGAAGCAAAGGCTGCCCCAGCTGCCTGCAGGTGGGAAGTCGTGCCTCCAATGTGTGTTTTATCACATCTCAAAAGGGACATTTCAAGCGCAGTGGCAGAATTACATCCTCGAAGGAATTTCTTTTCCCGTGCCTGTCAGGAGACATGCAGCAAGGAAGGTGTCAAGAGGGAAGGGAGGCTCAGGGTCAATGGGAACAGCCCCCGCCTCATTCCCAACTGCACAGTTGTTTTTGATTAGCAATATTAATAACCAGTTCATAGGATGACAGAATCACAGAATCCCAGACGGGTTTGGGTTTAAAGGGACCTTTAGAGGCCATCCTGCCCGACTCCCCTGCTGCGGGCACCGGCACTTTCCGCTAAGACCGTGCTGCTCCAAGCCCCGTCCAACCACGGATGGGGCAGCCAC